AGAGAATATATTATCTGATTATGTATACATATATAGGATATTTCCAGTAGTGCGTCTATTTGAGATAAGCGGAATCGGGGGCATTGCTTATCGGTTATCGCGTCAGTGTATTGTTAATAATCGCGTCCGTTGGGCTCGTAAAACTTTACAAGAAAGTATTTTAATCGATCTGCAAATTTTTCTTATAAACAAATTTTTCTTATATATAACAATTAATTATTCTAATAAATTTTTGAAAGTCGAATTATTTTTTTTATATTCAAAAATTAATTATCAACTCTAAACGTTCCTTTATCTTTCGTTATCTTTATTCGAAATTTTGTAAAGTGTTTCACCGTCAGTTTTAAGCCGCTTTTATAAACCGGGCGCGCATTTAATATAGTTTTACACGAATTACATATATCTCGTGAAAGGTATTCCGCCAATGAAATTGCCGACCGAACGATAGCGACTCTATGCAACGGAGATGTATAGCCATTGTGTGCTGTTCCGCGAGCAACCTTGAACAAAGTGAGTAATATTCCGTCGACACGGCTGCATTTGCGCAGCGGAGGAGCGACGCGAACTTTCGTCAATGTTACTTCATCGGGTTTTACACGCGAGACGGAAAAGCGAGACGTTCGTCGTCTCGCTCCGATGCGCGTTCGGCGCATTTTGGTTTCTCCCTCGCTTTTTTGCGGTCGGTGAAAGGTATTGTGCGCCACGTAAGGAAAGCTCCAATCTTGCCTAATCCGTCTCCTAATTTCCTACTTTATTTCCGCGACACTGACATGAGAGACAAAAGGAGAGGAGAGAGAAGGCGACATTTACCACATTTCTTTTTTGTGGATTAAAATATAAAATTTAAACGCAACATAAAATAACGCATCCACCGATGTCCTCCTTCGCGATTTAACCTCGGTTCCATTTTTAAATTTCGAAGACTTATCGCCGGGACTCATTGTTAAATGCGCACTTGAATTTATCGTGTCTTGTTGGCGTTTGTATCCCGATCTTGAGATTTCTGGTCTGTAGAAGCGCGAAAGAGATTAAAGGATAAATCAGATTGAAAATCCTACATTAGACATTTTTACAATTAGTGGAAATATATGACAAAGCCAAAATAAATATTTCGTGAAATACATAAATTAAAAATATTACAAATATCAACGATAAAAAATAATAAACGATAAAATGTCGAAATTCATATACGTTATCTATAAAAAAAAGACCGTATTTTTACGAGAGATAAGAAGGTCAGCCGTGTCTTTTCCGGCGTTCGAGCTTTGTATAAACGGCAACATGACTGACCCACTGCGCCGCCAATTCTATCTGACATTTCGTAATCGTCATCACTGTCGTATATTTAGCGTTACGTTACGCGTAGCCGGCTGCGCGGGAGAACGGGATGCAAGGCTCACTTTAATACCGTTCAAGCCTCGCAACTCAGCTGATTGTCAGCTGCGATCCGTGTGTATCCGTGCTATATGCTCGCTGATGTCTCCTTGTCATGTTTTTTCCTTTTGCGTTAGCAACAATATAATAAATCACTAACTCCGTTAAGAAGATAATAAATTGTCTTAGAATTGATTTGTTTTTCTCGTAGGGGATAATATAAAATAAATAATTTTTATTGTGTACAAAAAATACACTTATTTTGTATTTATATTTTGTTGTCATTTATACGTGATGATATGTGATTATTTAATTAATATTTATAATATATATTTTTGGATTTTTTGTCTCTCTCACGAATTTCGTTTCGAACCTGTCGGTGTGCTCAGGCTTCGCTTTCAGAGGTCGTATACGAAATATAAATATTCTTTTATCATATAAATCGAAACACATCTGCAACCAGCGTGAAATTACATAGAAAGTGAATCTCTTACAATAGTATCCCATTAACGGTTTCCGTAATTCGTAAAAAGCTGTTCTAAATACACGGCATTCTCACTCTTGCTTTTCTCTATTTTATTACCAGCCGCGGACTATTGTGTATATGTCTAAATAGTAAATCGTGTGATTTCGCAAGCGAGTTTGAAACCGAAATTGCGTTTCGCTTAAGAAACACGTAATTATTATCATGTAAATTCGTAAAATAATAATATATTCGTAATTCGTTATTCGTGAAAATAATAATATACGCGGTTCTCCGCAAAAACATCTCGTAGGAGTTTTTTTTATAACTACTGTGTATGCTTATTTTTCTATCATTAGGTGAAAAATCCATCCACTGCATCCGTATAAAAAAGAAATTATCTGCACGTACGAAAGATCGATTGTTTACATTTTTCGCAGTTTTAGAAATTCGTCTCGCGAAAGAAGATGAAAATCTAGAACACAATTCCCAGATGCAGGAACGTATCCACTGACCGTGCCCGGACTTTCCCGGGCTACCGCATCGAGATGGAGCAACAATAAACACGCGCCTACGATTTTAACGTGACGCGCAATGCAGTGCACGGTTTTGTGGCTTAGGCCTCCCGCTTGCTCGCTCGTAGAGCGGAGAAAGTTAATTTCGCATGGCCGTTGAACCGATATCGCCGCTATTACGTAGGAGAGTCGAGCGCTCTTAGAGATCGCGATTTATAACACTTACTCCTCTAAACCGGTCCTGTTCGCCGATCGACGACGCCGCTGGAGTCGCTTGATCGAAACCAGAGCATCCCGAATTAACTCTTCGCGATCTGATATGTAATATGTTTTTCGCACATCTTGCCGATTTTCTCCGCAAACAAACGTATCCGAATTTCCACCGCACGAGTCGCTTAAGTTTTTTTCTATAATTTCCGTTTCATTTCTAAAAATACATAAAGCGATACTTATTTTCTCTGGACGATGTCCTTGTTCTTGTTTCAGTTCTTTTTCTTGTTCAACGTATGCGAGAGATTTCATACTTTCTTTTCCTCAAATAATAAAATTTAATTGCGCGAGCTCAAGCGCGGATAGAATCTTTTAGAAAAATTGCGGGAGTTAAAAAAGAAAAAGGTTGAGAAAAATAATTAATTCGTCTCATCACATATATCATTATTTGTCTATCACGATGAATATTTATAGAGCGCGAAATTTGCATCGCGATTGCGAGAATTGTTCTCCATAATGTATTTTTCAAATTGCGCGGGCGTAAAACAACTGTAAATTAATGAAACATTCCAGGATGTGCGACGCAATGTAATCGTAATGGCCTTCTTACATAAACGCAAATGTAATTTGACGTGCGCCCAGCAAAAGCAAACGATCTTTTACAAGTTACATGTCGTCCGACGTAACGCGGTCTTCCATCTTTTGCTAGCGGGCTCGAAGAATCCTTAAAATTCCTGATGCATGCAAATTCTGCGTCGTATGAATTTTACCGGTCTTACAATTTCGCAGGATGTGGATAAGATACTAGATATCACATAATAGGGAGTGTCTCCTCCCTCCTGTCAAGATCAGGACAATTCAAGATGTCTCGATAAGCCGAAACTGTGCCGGACGCTACACTTTCGCGAATACAAATGCAACAGTCTCACTCTCTTCGGTCTAATAAATAATGCAATTGTGGACATTAAAGTCAGGTACGTATCATGTTGCGCGACACGTGAAAAATGGTTGAATTGCGGTCGTCATGCATAGTGAAGACGCGTCGAATGACCGAGTGGGCCGTATATAGCGTAGAAAGACATTTATCGTTGATTGAAGATGTGGTAATCCAGGGCTACGTATTAATAATCGTGTCGTGTATAATAGATTCAATAGCTCGTCTAAATAACTACTGTTGCCGCTGCATAGCGGAATCATCGCTACGCTCGAGAAATCGCGATATGATGAAAAATCGTTGAAAGTTTTTCCTACAGTATGATATTAATTAAATTAATGGCTTCAAAATTTAAATTGAGTTCGAGAACAAAAACAATATTCAATAATTTGATATCATTAAAATAAAGAATTAATTTTAAAGTTAAATAAAAATATTTATGAGCTGTTATATTACATTATTTACATTACAAACTATGTATAAAAATGACAGTTTAATTAATTTATATATATACATATATATATTCCTCTCGATACGATTGATATTTAAAATAGGATCACAATATTCAAAATACGATTTTTTTCGCGAATAGAAACTGCGTATCCATGATTTTGTATTTTTCTCAACGATAATTTCTGAAATATATTTCTTCCATATATTGTGTGTATCTTGGAGTTTCAAAAACAACTAAAGTGTCTATGATAAAGGTTTTTGAAGTATTTATCTGTGAGTTCGATCCGTCCTAATCTTTAAAGTGATCCCAAAATAGAGATGGACACTCTACTCCTGAGATTCTTCAGTCTCTTTCTCTTTCAGAGACTTCATCTTCAAAGTATTAAAATACTTCTTATTCTTTCTTTATATTTATACATACTCGATACTTGTTAATTTTTTCTCTTTTATCGAGAATGATTCTTCTCAGTCGGCGCACCGATAGACAAAACAGGTTCAGATTCGTTCCGAGTTCCCTCTTCGCGTGTCGGCGCGTGGGCGAGCCGAGCGCAATCACGAGGAATGTTTTGTGTCGACTACCCGGAGAACCGATACCGGTTCTCAGTCGCTGCGCAAAAAGACAATGGCGTGACCTTAGCGGATATGGTGAGACCAGATTCTAACGTGTCTCGAGGATGACCGGCTCGAAGGTTTTTCCTTCTCCCTTTTTCCTTCCTCCTTTTCTGTTCCCGCGGTATCGCTTTGTGTTATTCAGCCGATAGTGTGCGTATTCACTCGTATTTGTACTTTAATACTCATTCGGGGGAACAGAATTTATATTTTCAAACAGATTAATCTCTCTCTATCCTCTCTCTCTCTCTCTCTCTCTCTCAGTTTTATCTTTTCTCCTTAAAATAGCAACTTCAATAATGTATTTAATATTTATTATGTGCCTTGTGCACATAATAATTGGAAGCGCTATTCTGTAGCATAAGTCTTAACTATTTTTATATCAATAAATTGTTGGATATTAAAAAATAAGCGTATTCTTTTCAAAAATTTTCCTAGAATGCTGTAAAAATGCCGTCGTTGCTGGAAGCGCTGGAGCTGAAGTACGGCAGCTCGACGACGGACTGCTCGTTGACGGATGACGAAGCGGAGTCCGGCTCGCCCAAGGCCGCTCTGTCAGTGAGCATCTTCATCCCCAAGAAGTCGCCGCGGCATACGGTGCCGGCTCTGCTGGTGCTCCAGGACTGCGACATCGAGTCGGCGGGCAACGATGCCGAAAAGTTACGTAGCAAGTGCAAGAACGTCGAGGAGCTTGATCTGGCGCAGAATAAGCTGTCGCAGTGGACGGAGGTATTCGGCATTCTGCAACACATGCCCAAAATCAAGTTTGTCAATCTCAGTTTCAACTGCCTCGCGGAGGTATTGGATGTCAAGCACGGTAACTACGATCTTTTGAGGAATCTCGTGCTGAACGGCACTAGGGTTTCCTGGTCGACGGTGCAGGGATTGGTGCGGCTTCTACGGAATCTTGAGGAGCTCCACTTGTCGTTAAACGAGTACAAAACGGTAGATCTCGATTACCAAAAGCCGGAGAATGTAAACCCGGCGCTGAAGAAGTTGCACTTCACCGGCAATCCGGTGGAAATTTGGAACGAGATCTCCAAATTGGGGTACATTTCTTATGATATCGTTTTCCTTATGCTAATATAATGAAGAGAAATTGATTCATAATATACGGAATAAAATTATACTATAAAAACTATTTTTATCCACATTCAAAGTATAATTAATACTATCGTTGTTTCGAGATCTCTTAATATTCAAATATAATATTCTTTTTTTTTTTTTTAGGTATCTATTTCCAAATCTGAAGAGTCTTGTCCTCGCCGAGTGCCCAATCAGATCACTCGCTCTAGAGGAAAATCGAAATTTGCCGCCCGAGAACGATCGACGAGCGAAGGAAGAGGACCACGGGCAGGATAACGAGAACATGAATCATTTAGATGTAGATGAGCACACGTCGTCGGAGGAGAAGGGAAATAGAATATTCGAGAGCAAGGTCAATTACGATAGATCCGAGTCGGAGTCGGAGTCCAACGGAACGACCATCAAATCGCCTCACGATCCCTTCAGGATGCTGAGGTTCTTGAACGTGAACGGTACCCTGTTATCGACCTGGGACGAGGTCGAGAGGCTCGCCAGGTTCCCAGCGCTCAAGTCGCTTAGGATTCAAGGATGTCCGCTTTTCGAGGTAAGCGACTCTTCCTCTTCCGACGATCAAAGATTGGCAAGTCTCACATCATGTTCGCCGTTTGGGAAACGTTTCGATTGATGTATTTCGATACCATGTTTCGCTCGTCGATTAAAGACCGGATGCGATTTCACTTCTGAAATGCACAATTCATTCTTTATCTTTTCTAAATGAATATTACACGTAGTATAATTTAAAATAATATATCTAAATCTTGATGTGCTGTGTCTATAAAAAATGAAATAAATTTCTCGACGAGCCAGAAATCAATTCTAACAGAGAAGATAATTATAATGCACGCGATAGTTTGAACTTTTGACCGTTACGTACTTAGAACAGAAGGCAAAGTTATATTCTTTGAAGTAACGCAAAGCAAACTTATCCGACGAACGATTAGGGAGAATATACGGTACGAAATATGATACGGTACGGAAATTATTTGAAGCGTAGGGTTATTTTCACCCTCTCAAAATGCGTCCCTCAATCTGAGCGCGCTCGACGATAGACAGATTAGAGACACGTGTCTAATCTTTGACATCATCGAATGCGACAGTTGTTTGCGACTATGTGAGAAATATGCGTGTCCTAGTAAGCTCGAAGAGATCTTTCCGCACGGACGTAAAGCAATTAAGTCTTGGCACCTGTTCAAGTAGGCTTACAGATTATTGTAACGCATGAGTTTCAAAAACAAGTTTTCAGAATCGATAAACTCTACAAACGCATCTTGCTTCCAAGTACTGTATGAATTAATTATGCGAAAGATATTCTTGTATTATCTCCTTTGTATTATAAAACGGAGGAGCCTCGTTATTTTACATGTTAGAATCAGAATAAAATAGTTCAACACATGACGGTACCAATTAAAACGACACGTGCCCGTAACATGGTGACCTTCAATTCAATGAATAACCAGTTTTATTGCGGAAAGTGGTTTCTATTCTTTAAGTTATCGGTGTTTATAATTGCAGTCGCGATATATTACGAAGGTAATATAGTATAGCTCTTTGACATTATTTATAATTGATCTAAAATGCAATTCGAATTTTGATGTTATCCAAATCTTAATTATTATTTCATATATATATATACATATTCATTATCCTTTTTTTTATTTCTTAATTATTACTTTTTATATTTATTTATTCTATCATTAATTTATTATTTTTTATTATAGATCCGTTCATTCAGCTACTAATAGCTCGGTTGCCAAACGTCGAGACTTTGAACGGTGGCGGCGTGATATCGTCCCAGGAACGCGAGGACGCCGAGAGGGCTTTTATACGTTATTATATGGACAAACCGGAAGCTGATCGGCCTGAAAGGTGAGTCTCGAAATTGTCGTTTCTCCCCTAGTGAGCAAGGCGATCGCTCCGAATGAATCTTGTACACGTTACAATTCTGGTTTTCCCGCGGTTCTAACTTTGCTCAAGCCTATTAGAGTATTCTCGTTTCACGGCCGTCGCTTCTTTACGCCGGAGACGCCCCAACTTGACCCCCTTTTTCAATTTTCAGGTATTCCGAGCTCGTGGCTATTCACGGAAAGTTGGACCCCTTGGTAAACGTGGATTTGACACCGGAGAAAAGGGTCAAGGTCACGTTCACTTACGGAGATCTCGTCGAGGTATTTAATTTCACGAGGTGTCAATTTTCATCACACTTTACATAAACGTGTCGTATTAAAAATTTGCAACTTGGAAATTAATTTAGTCTTGTTTTTTGTCTGGAAATTGTTTTTAATACAATTAAATATAAAGATTATATAAATTTCTATTCGGGACATGCATAAAAACAATTTCTGCATCAGACAGTGTTCAGTTACATATTATTTTCATTCTTTTAGGTACGATCGGTCGATGTATATAGAACAGTTTTCGAATTAAAAACCAAATTGGAAAGTATGGTGAAAATTCCTGCCAACAGAATGAGACTCTTCTACGTTGATCAGGTAAGCCGTTCCGTCCTACATTAATTAATATTATTTTTAATATTATTTTCGCAGAACGTTTGGTTCCTCGATCGTTCCTTTGAGAAACCCAAAGTCGCGATATAAATCATACTATCCTTTCATATGATTCCTTATCCTGGATACCATCGCTTGAAATTTGTAACTTCCTGTAAAAAATATTTCCCGAAATATTAGTAACAAGGTATGGAAACAATTTCTCGATGTACCCTATATGAATTTTTGCTAATTATTAAAAACACAATATGTTTATCTCATCATTTATAATAAGATCGCGAATATATAAGTATACCGCATACCAATTTCGAGGAATACGCGCGAAATGAATCTCGACGTTTTAGGTAATGAAGGCGCAGTATGGACCGGAAGAAATGTTGTATCCGAACAAGCAACTCTATCGATACAACATTAGAAACGGCGACGAGATCATCATCGATAGCAAACTGAATCGATTCGCGTCTACGTCTTCGGCTACATCTTCCATTCGTTCCTGAAGAAAATCGGCACGCGAATCGAGCGGTATTGAAGAAATTCAATAGCTCTTCGAGTTTTTTGATCTCTTACTTATTGCTTCGCGATGCGATTCGTTTGTTGCTGAATTTTAATGATGCCATCGATACAAATCGATAGAGAAACACCGGTTTTCATGACCGCGTTTATTAACGTTGCAGATCTGATAACCAAAAACTGTTACAATCGGCGAAGGGCAATTCGGAAACGTTCCCATGCATGGAGGTATATGTAAACTAACAGTTTAGAAGAATTGCGAATGTTCGATGTTGTATCATACCGCAAATATTTCAAAATAATAATAAGAAATAATAATAAATAATAACTGACATACAATAATCATGAATTGGCGAATTGATATCGAGTGAAATTGTTAGGACACGAAGTATCTCCTTAAAAACGATATATTTTTTCGAAAATTATGACGAATTATCGCGATCGATGCACTTTGATCGCAGCAAAGTCGTCTGACGTTGTTATATATAATTATTTATCTGTATAAGAAACTCATCCATTGTCTCTATGTATGAACTTAACCGCTACTAACGAATCTGGCATATATAGAGAATAATTGTTTCCAGTGTATACATGTACACTTAGATAAAGTAGATGGTCGTCGATTCGTAAGTTTTCTCTAATGTAGAATATAATTTTTGTCTATTTTAGACGACAAAATGTAATGGGAAAGGATTGTACATAGTCAATATTTCAATTTCCAGCCAAATTCGATGTAGTTACGATACGCGAGCTTCAGGGAAGTTTATCTTTTTATTTATCGACGCTCGACTTAGGGGACGATAGGGATTCATATAGGGAAAAATAGTTCACATGGATTATGTGACATGTTCACGTAACCCTAAGATAATTAATGCCAACACGACTGTAACGAGGTGCGTTGCTATTGACGAAGAGAATGAAATATTTTTGTAGATCAAGGTCACAGTTTAGCTTTAAAGAAGTACTCGTTCATGACGAACGCGTTTTGTTGCTCTTTGTCAAACACCGGGCAATGATAAAAGTGTTTAAACAGCACTCGCAGCTGTCGTTTCCGTCGCGCACGTATTTTTATAAATACGAAGAATACGTGCGATCTTTTGCGGGGGTCATTTGTGCGTAGATGTAACATGCCAGAGAAATCTCGTGCTTAAGATTAGTAGAATGTATCGCTAGTTCGCAAGTGTCATCCACTTTTATTATCATCTTGACTTTTGAATGATCTTTGTACTTTCTCTCAAGATGATACGTTTATATAAAAACTTTTTTCTCAACTCTGCGCGAAATTAAAACAGCACAAGAGCGTCATCAGTTTTCCTCGTCCTGTCTAGATGATTTAAAATTAGGATATTGCAGCGTTTAATCCGGTAAAACGTGAGAGAAAAAGAGAAATTTACGAAACTACATAAGATTTATGTAAAGTTGAAGCTCTGCGTTGCGATATAGATAATCTACTCTCGATATGTACTTAAGTATAAATTAAGTACCCTCAATGTTTTTTTATTCCGTAATATTGAACTATAACGCAGTATGAGTAAACTATTGTACATTATTGCTTCGTCACAAAGTGAACGGAGATCATATAATACATTGACAACTATGATAGAATCGTAAGGTAAATTTCCAATGTGATTTTATAAAAAAAGTTGCATACACGCGTATAATTTAAAATTCTCGCAACCATCTCGATCTTCAAAAGTATGTTTTTTTTCTCTGAAGCGCTACAAATATATCTCGTTGCATTTACGGCTTATCCCGATTTAGGGCACAAGCGAGCTTGCGAAAAGGAAGTTACTAGAACGTTACGTTGCTTTGTTCTTTGAATCCGGTGGCACCGCGGAAAATGTTCAGCTACAAGCGTTAGAGAAAGAAAGCGGACAGTGTATCGAGTTTCGGTCTTTTTCATCCATAAGCAACGAAACTTGAAGAGTCACTTATGCCTGCCTTTTACGCGTACTAGTGTAATTCTGATACTTCTAACACTGCCCTGTGAATATTATGAAGCGTGATTCGGGACGTGTGGCAAGGCTCTCTGTACATAAAGAGAAACATTAATCGAATTCTCGTGCAGCGATGCAATTCTAATAAAAAGTAGCCCAGTTTGCCAATAATAATAATCTTTGGTCAACGATTAAAGAAATATTCGTAAAGCAAGTTTCACTATATTATTATACAAATTTGATACTCTTCTAGTTTAGTACAAATTATCAAGAAACTAAAAGTATTTCGTTAAATGTGTTCGGTAACGAAAGAAGACATGTATAGATACAAGTGATTTTGTTCGTGATATCTAGAATCCATTAATAACACACACATAATTTTCTTACGACTACGAATCTTGCTACTCGAGACATTCGATTAGACGTTTCTCGGAGATGGAAAGAGTATAGGAAGACGTTAACTGTCGGATTCTAATGCCATTCGCATCCTGCCTTCGCGATAACAGCATACAATTGATGCGAATCGTTTGGTCGATGTTAACAAGAGACGGCGAAGAGCGAAAGCAAAAATCGATCACGAAGGAAGGATAAAGTAGAGGAATCCCATGCTGCATGTGTCTAGTCTCGAAAAAAGGAACTCTGCATTATTCTCATTTTATATATAATAATACGATCCTTTTTTTGTGCTGGCGCAAATGTACGTACTAACGAAATAAATCATTTATATGACAAATTGTTTTTCGATGATTTTTGCCTTATCTTTTTCTTAATAAATTTAAATAGCCATTATTGAATCCTGATTGACGATTAGTTTTTGAATCATTGTCACAAAAAATGACAATCAAAGAGCTAATTAACATCCATGGTTATAAATTATAGTTTTAGTTTATTGTAGTATCTGAACATTTTTTGGGGGATTTGAACAATTTTTTGGATAAAAACTATACGCTTATATTATACATATATTAATGTTAAATAGAAAAGCGATTATAAATCTAAACTCATAAAAATTCCGACGATTATTATTCTATTATTGATTCAAATTGAAACAATCGGAAATACACTTGCAAATAAAGCCTACGGATAAAGAAATGGGACGGCGGCAGTTAATCTATAATACACGTGTTTTATTCACAACCGTTACCATAAACGAGCCGGATGATAATTTTACACTTATTTAAACCCTACGATCTATCACAATGTATTTTCTGTTATTTCTTCCCTTTCGCGGATGTATAGAAATATATCTGACTAAATGTGCTAAAGCTACTTAAAATTAATCGCGCCTCACATCAGACGCAAAACGCCACAGACATTTATACATAAAACGTTACAACAATATATATGTACATCGGTATAAGCTAGATTCGTAATGGAAAACAACGGAATCAATATGCCTGCTGGATATGT